CTTTATAGGATTAACCATGGAAGGATCCACACTGACACTCTATGGCAGGGGGCTCTTAACCGTTAGGTATCCATACCCCTTTGAAGGTATGGGAACCAAATAATGGGAGTATGGGATTCAATCGTTCAACAGTTTAAAAAAAAAGTTGTTGTTAGATTATTAGAAACTATCACCATTATCAATACACATCGTCATGATTTAGCGCGGGATTTGATTTAAACTCTTTATACTGATTTGTTCCTCAGGTCACAGAAAAAGCTTCACACATGTTTTCTATATCGCCAAGCTCTGGCGTTCAAAACGATGCCAAAGAAGTGATGGGAATAGTTGTACAGTCAACTTTATTCGTTGACGCGCATTAAATCATCAGTTATTTCAAATATCCTGGAATGAGACTGGAGCGGAACATTGTGTTATACTGTACCACACAGAGTTACGTTGGCGAAGACGTGGTTGTGTTTTCACACGTGAACTTAGGGAGGACATTTTTATATTCCACAAGCATCAACAATCCACTCTTCCAAACCATTTTGAAGATGAACACTTTATTGTTAGCCTGGGATATTTGGCCAATATTTTCAATGATTTTAACATGATACAGGGAAGGGATGTGGATATTATTCAAGCCTGTGGAAAGCTTGCGATATTTATGAGGAAATTATTTATTTGGAGTCGCCGTGTTGAAAGCAGAAAACATTGCTAACATTCCAAACCTTGACGACATCCTAAGTGGAGATGGTAAAACAATACCTGCGGAAATACTACAAGAAGTCTAGGACAATTTGGAAGTCCTATGTACAAATTTTGAGGGTTACTTCTAAGTTATTAACGCTCTTAGCATGGAATCTGTTGGATCATGAACCTTTTCTTGTTTGATATATCTACGATGAATGACAACGATTCAGCAAATAATATTTCATTGATTTCCAAGATGATCTAAAAATGAAACCTAATTTTAAAAATGCTGGACTGGATATCAAACAGTTTTGGTGTGAGCAGGCCGCAGATTACTCAAGCTTGAAGATGGGGGAAAAGAAAGGTTTAGGTCTCTTATCTATCTCTGTGAAGCAGGATTCTTTGCATCATTTAACCTGAAATCAAAGTGGAGAAATCGAACTGATGTGCCAGGTGACATGCTAGTAATATTATCAGTAACTATACATCGATTCGGCAGATGTAATACCTATTTACAAGGCAGGTGACAGGTCCTTATTGTCTAACTATAGACCAATAAGCCTTTCCTCCATGGTGGGAAAATTCGTGGAATCAATAATTGCCGACGCAACTCATAACTGTCTTGATAGTCATAAATTGATTAATGAATCTCATCACGGTTTTACTAACTTTTTTCACCAAGGTATTTGAGGAGGTATATCATGGTAATGAATATATTATTATGTATATGGACTTTAGTAAGATTTTTGATAGAGTTCCACATCAGAGGTTATTGATGAAAATTAAGGCACATAGAATAGAAGGAAATTTTTTTTCCTAGGTAGAGGCGTGGTTGACAGATAGGGAACAGAGTTTGCACCAGTGGTGAGAAATGAGAGTGGGGGTGCGTCACGAGTGGTGTTCCACAAGGGTCAGTGTTGGGCCCTTTGTTGTTCACAATTTGTATAATCAACAATGAGGAATCTATAAATAGGGACGTAAGCAAATTTCCTGATGACACATTAGAACACTTCAGGAAGATTTGAATAGACTGATGCAGTGGTCAGAGAAGTGGCAGATGTAGTTTAATATAGACAAGTGCAAAGTTCTAAACAATGGACAAGAAAATAACCATGCCACATATAAACTAAATAATGTAGATATTAACAATACTGATTGCAAAAAGGATTTGGGAGCTCTGGTTACCTGTAATCTAAAACCAAGACAATAGTCCATAAGTGTTCGCAATAAAGCAAACACAATCCATGGTTTCATGTCAAGGAACATAAATAATAGGAGTCCTCAGGTTGTTCTTCAACTCTATATATCTTCGGTTAGGCCTTATTTAGATTATGCTGCACAGTTCTGGTCACCGTATTACAGAATGGATATAAATGCACTGGAAAACGTACAAAGGAGGATGACAAAGTTGATCCCATGTATCAGAAATCTTCCCTATGAGGATAGACTGAGGGCCCTGAATCTGCACTCTTGAAAAACGTAGAATTAGAGGGGATATGTCTGAGATGTATAAATTGAAAACAGAAATAAATTTTTAGCCTGCTAAAAATTTCCAGCCAAGACAGGACTCGCAGCAATGGTTTTAAGTTTAAAAAATTCAGATTCAGGAAGGATATAGGAAAGCACTGTTTTGGTATTAGAGTTGTGGTTGAGTGGAACAAACTCCCGAGTACTGTCATAGAAGCTAACACGTTGCGTAGTTTTAAAAATAGGTTGGATAAATACATGAGTGGGTGTAATTTGCTTGTGCTAATAGGTCTGATTCTGTGCTCTTTCCTAAAGTGGATGAAACCTGACCTGACTACGTGGGTCATTAGCTTAAGCCGTGAGGTGACTTGAACTTGCCTCGCAGGTCCAAGCCAGTAAGCCTGCTGCAGTGTTCCTTCTTTCTTATGTTCTTATTCCATGTTTTAATTGAAAAAAAGAAACAGCGAACAATCTCACTAGTTGTAGTTAGCTTATGTATTTGTGATTTGCCGTTATTCTATAAATAAATATCATAAAATCCTCATGATTTTTTTTATCGGCTGTTCTGTTCATAGTTACCCATATGTAAAATGAAACCAAGGTATTGACGGGTACCAAATATATGACTGGTGTTGGTTGTGATTTCTACACTGGAGAAGAGGGTTATGAGGACGTATTGGGCAATCCATTGGGGGTCTGTAGTCGTAGAAACGTTAAGAACTCGTGACTGCGGCGTCAGCAACACACACCAGATGTTCACAAAAATGTCTCTCGTAGTGAAAGCTCAGAACGAAGCTTACGATAACAGTATACTGTTACAATAACTCGCAATACAAGAGAGGTATCTTTGCATCGTCTAACCCAAGACACCTGTTCCTTAATGCGCATGACAGGAATAGTGAGGCTTAAGCTTCTAATGAACCAAATTAAATAAGGTATTCACAAGTTATCTTGTGGTTACTAATAGCCAGTTTCTTCAATAAAATTGGGAAATCAGAACATGCACAGCCCATAACTAATTCAAACTTGCGAATAAGAAATTGCTTTTTGCAGCCAAACTCTGAGTAACCTATATCTTAAGCTACATCAACACACTAACTTTGAAGCCCCTCAGAATTATTATTATTATAATCAAGGGGGAAGCGCTAAACCCAGAGGATTATACAGCGCCTGGGGGGGGGGGATGTGGAAGGCATTCAGGCTTAATTCGGGGAACTGGAGCACAGATCCAATTCCCTAAATCAAGAGCCCCTCACCAACATCAAGGAACCTTCCTTGAGGGGTAAGCCCCTCAGAAGAAACGGTGAAGGGTTGTAGCCATTCTGATGCGGCACTCGGAAATTGTTACATGAAATTCTGAAATCCAGCACTTCATTTTTACCCGTTTTTTTTTTTTCAAAAAAAAAAAAAAAAAAAAAAAAAAAAAAAAAAAAAATGGAGCTTACCCAGATCACTATGAATCCAAACTTTTCTGAAAGTATGACTGACCAGGCTTACGAGTAAGTAAATAAGTAGGAGAGTAAGCCAGTAATTTTTATGTAGACTCGGAGCACATACTAATATTTTTTTTTACATTGGTCGTGAGGACAATCCGATATTACCTGCATAGAAAAGGTGCATAACGTAGATATATCCTCGGTGAATACACAGTGACACAAATTAGAACACAACTCAACATTAAAATAAGAAAAAATGTCACATAACAATACACTAGGAGAAAATGCTTATGCACATCTTGGAACGCATATTTACATGCGTGAACACACACACACACACACACACACACACACACACACACACACACACACACACACACACACACACACACCGCCAAATGCAATGTCATGAAGATCGGGGAAGGGCAAAGAAGACCGCAGACAGAGTATAGGATAAGTAGCCATAGACTTAAACTTCACTCAAGGAAAAGAATCTAGGGTTGAGTATAATACCGATCACATCTCCTGAGGAGCACATCAAGCAGACAACTGGTGCAGCATGTGGACGCCGGCCAAATATGAGAATAGCGTTCCAATACCTCACTAATGAAATGTTCAAGAGTCTGTACACCGTGTACGTCAGGCCCATACTGGAGTATGCAGCACCAGTGTGAAACCCACACCAGGTCAAGAACGTCAGGAAATTAGAGAAAGTTCAAAGGTTTGCAACAAGGCTAGTTCCAGAGCTAAGGAGAATGTCCTACGAAGAAAGGTTAAGGGAAATCAACCTGATGACGCTAGAGGACAGGAGGGTTAGGGGAGATAAGATAACATACAAAATACTGTGAGGAATTGGCAAGGTGGACAGAGACAGAATTTTCCGGAGAGAGAACACAGAAACAATGGGTCACAATTGGAAGTTGAAGGTTCAGATGAGTCAAAGAGTTATTAGGAAATATTTCTTTAGTCATAGAGTTGTCAGGAAGTGGAATAGTCTGCCACGTAATGTAGTGGAAGCAGGAACCATACATAGTTTTAAGACGAGGTATGATCAAGCTCATGGAGCAGGAAGAGAGAGAGGACCTGGTAGCGATCAGTGAAGAGGAAGGACCAGGAGGTATGTATCGACCCCTGCACTCACAAATAGGTGTGTACAAATAGGTGAGTACAAACTTTCTTCAGAACCACACATCACACTGACGCTCAAATAGGACTCGCCTCTCACCAGATTCCAGCTCAGGTATATCTAGTATATCATACCTATTGATAACAAATTACCTCGGGCATGGCCTCTGGTGACGTTGTATATCAAGTTTAACCAATAGCGAGAGTTTAATAGGCGCTTATCCTATGAATAATCTAAGGACAATCTATGTACAACTAGTGAATGATTCATTCACGATTAGTTGGTAGTACGTGCCTAGGCATGAGTATGTAGGGATCATTGGATCAGATGTATACTGCTGTTGTATGATCATTCCATTCGCTATATACGTCTCAGACACGACCTCGCCATGTTGTTCCCTCCCAGGACTTGCCATCAATCTGTGAAAGATGAGAATACTCCATTTGCCTCGCCCGTATGTAACAGTGAATGTCTCGATTTACTGCGACGGGGAACGAAATAGGTGAGGTGGGTGGGAGTAGGAGTGAGGGTGTGTGGATTGGGCAAGGAAATGTGGGTGGAAACAACGGAATATAGCTGAAGACAAGGGAGGATGGATGGAAGCATGGAATGTAAGGAAAAGGAATGTGGGTAAAGGCATAAGGGAATGGGTTTAAGCAGGGGATTGTCTTTTGGGGAAGCAGGTGTGAGTGGAAACAAAGGATTGTCTTTGGGGAATGCAGGTGTGTGCGGAAGCAAGAGAATGAGTTGGAGTAGGAACAAGTGAATGTGTGGGAATGGGATATGTATGGGAACTATGTAATGTTGGTATAGGCAAGGAAAAGTGGGTGGTGAGTGAAGTGAAGTTAATTTCAGTGATTGAAGAATAGGCGTGGTGGTTCACAAGGGAGTGTACTGGCCCACTTACCTGCTTCATCATTGTAGGGGACGACTCTTAGCTCTTGTCCAAGCCAGTTACCATTAGCAGGTTGATGCTCCACTGGCCTCGTGAGCACCTCTTGCAATTTTTCCTACACATGTCTGTGGAATCCGCCTCAACCATTTCCACTTAGAAAGAGATTACACTTCCCGACCAAACAAAGACTAAAAAAATGGCGTTTTTCTGTGGGTCATCTGCGTAATTTCTACTGCTGCCTCACTGCCAAGAAACAACAGTGATTAAGTAATGAAGTTCTTCTCTCACTGCCTTGACGCAGCAGTAATGAGGTAATAAAATAACTGACTCACTGCCTAGACATAATAACAATTAAATGATAAGGGTATTGTCTAGGAATATAATAATAATAAAGTAATAAAGCTACTACCTAGACACAGTTATAATTAAGTAATAAAGTTACTGTCTGGGAAGAGCAATAATAGAGTTACTGTCTCACTGCCTAGAAACAACAATAATAAAATTGTTACACTGCCTGGGAACAAAAGTAATAAAGTAACAGATACTCTGCCTGGGAACAATAATAATAAAGTAATAAGGTCAATGTTTCACTGCCTGGTGGCTAGGCTTGTTTGTGGTGGCTAGGCTTGTTTGTGGTGGCTAGGCTTGTTTGTGGTGGCTAGGCTTGTTTGTGGTGGCTAGACTTGTTTGTGGTGGCTAGGCTTGTTTGTGGTGGCTAGACTTGTTTGTGGTGGCTAGGCTTGTTTGTGGTGGCTAGGCTTGTTTGTGGTGGCTAGGCTTGTTTGTAGTGGCTAGGCTTGTTTGTGGTGGCTAGGCTTGTTTGTGGTGGCTAGGCTTGTTTCTGGTGGCTAGGCTTGTTTGTGGTGGCTAGGCTTGTTTGTGGTGGCTAGGCTTGTTTGTGGTGGCTAGGCTTGTTTGTGGTGGCTAGACTTGTTTGAGGTGGCTAGGCTTGTTTGTGGTGGCTAGACATGTTTGTGGTGGCTAGGCTTGTTTGTGGTGGCTAGGCTTGTTTGTGGTGGCTAGACTTGTTTGTGGTGGCTAGGCTTGTTTGTGGTGGCTAGACTTGTTTGTGGTGGCTAGACTTGTTTGTGGTGGCTAGGCTTGTTTGTGGTGGCTAGACTTGTTTGTGGTGGCTAGACTTGTTTGTGGTGGCTAGGCTTGTTTGTGGTGGCTAGACTTGTTTGTGGTGGCTAGGCTTGTTTGTGGTGGCTAGACTTGTTTGTGGTGGCTAGACTTGTTTGTGGTGGCTAGGCTTGTTTGTGGTGGCTAGGCTTGTTTGTGGTGGCTAGACTTGTTTGTGGTGGCTAGGCTTGTTTGAGGTGGCTAGGCTTGTCTGTGGTGGCTAGGCTTGTTTGTGGTGGCTAGGCTTGTTTGTGGTGGCTAGGCTTGTTTGTGGTGGCTAGGCTTGTTTGTGGTGGCTAGGCTTGTTTGTGGTGGCTAGGCTTGTTTGAGGAGGCTAGGCTTGTTTGTGGTGGCTAGGCTTGTTTGAGGTGGCTAGGCTTGTTTATGGTGGCTAGGCTTGTTTGTGGTGGCTACGCTTGTTTGAGGTGGCTAGGCTTGTTTGAGGTGGCTAGGCTTGTTTGTGGTGGCTTGGCTTGTTTGTGGTGGCTAGGCTTGTTTGTGGTGGCTAGGCTTGTTTGAGGTGGCTAGGCTTGTTTGTGGTAGCTAGGCTTGTTTGTGGTGGCTAGGCTCGTTTGAGGTGGCTAGGCTTGTTTGTGGTGGCTAGGCTTGTTTGTGGTGGCTACGCTTGTTTGAGGTGGCTAGGCTTGTTTGAGGTGGCTAGGCTTGTTTGTGGTGGCTAGGCTTGTTTGAGGTGGCTAGGCTTGTTTGTGGTGGCTAGGCTTGTTTGTGGTGGCTAGGTTTGTTTGTGGTGGCTAGGCTTGTTTGTGGTGGCTAGGCTTGTTTGTGGTGGCTAGGGTTGAGGGTGGTGGCTAGGGTTGTTTGTGATGGCTAGGGTTGTTTGTGGTGGCTAGGCTTGTTTGTGGTGGCTAGGGTTGAGGGTGGCGGCTAGGGTTGTTTGTGGTGGCTAGGGTTGTTTGTGGTGGCTAGGCTTGTTTGTGGAGGCTAGGGTTGAGGGTGGCAGCTAGGCTTGTTTGTGGTGGCTAGGGTTGAGGGTGGTGGCTAGGCTTGTTTGTGGTGGCTAGGGTTGAGGGTGGCTGCTATGCTTGTTTGTGGTGGCTAGGGTTGAGGGTGGCGGCTAGGCTTGTTTGTTGTGGCTAGGGTTGAGGGTGGCGGCTAGTCTTGTTTGCGGTGGCTAGGGTTGAGGGTGGTGGCTAGGCTTGTTTGTGGTGGCTAGGGTTGAGGGTGGCTGCTAGGCTTGTTTGTGGTGGCTAGGGTTGAGGGTTGCGGCTAGGCTTGTTTGTGGTGGCTAGGGTTGAGGGTGGTGGCTAGGCTTGTTTGTGGTGGCTAGGGTTGAGGGTGGTGGCTAGGCTTGTTTGTGGTGGCTAGGGTTGAGGGTGGCGGCTAGGCTTGTTTGTGGTGGCTAGGGTTGAGGGTGGTGGCTAGGCTTGTTTGTCGTGGCTAGGGTTGATGGCGGCTGCTAGGCTTGTTTGTGGTGGCTAGGGTTGAGGGTGGCGGCTAGGCTTGTTTGTGGTGGTTAGGGTTGAAGGTGGCGGCTAGGCTTGTTTGTGGTGGCTAGGGTTGAAGGTGGTGGCTAGGCTTGTTTGTGGTGGCTAGGGTTGAGGGTGGCGGCTAGGCTTGTTTGTGGTGGCTAGGGTTGAGGGTGGCGGCTAGGCTTGTTTGTGGTGGCTAGGGTTGCAGGTGGCGGCTAGGGTTGTTTGTGGTGGCTAGGGTTGCAGGTGGCGGCTAGGGTTGTTTGTGGTGGCTAGGGTTGATGGTGGCGGCTAGGCTTGTTTGTGGTGGCTAGGCTTGTTTGTGGCGGCTAGGGTTGTTTGTGGCGGCTAGGCTTGTTTGTGGAGGCTAGGCTTGTTTGTGGTGGCTAGGCTTGTTTGTGGCGGCTAGGCTTGTTTGTGGCGGCTAGGCTTGTTTGTGGTGGCTGGGCTTGTTTGTTTTGCTAGGGTTGAGGGTGGTGGCTAGGGTTGAGGGTGGCAGCTAATCTTGTTTGTGGTGGCTAGGGTTGAGGGTGGCGGCTAGGCTTGTTTGTGGTGGTTAGGGATGAGGGTGGCGGCTAGGATTGTTTGTGGTGGCTAGGGTTGAGGGTGGCAGCTAGGCTTGTTTGTGGTGGTTAGGGATGAGGGTGGCGGCTAGGATTGTTTGTGGTGGTAGGTTGAGGGTGGCGGCTAGGCTTGTTTGGTGGCTAGGGTTGAAGGTGGCGGCTAGGCTTGTTTGTGGTGGATAGGGTTGATGTTGGCGGCTAGGCTTGTTTGTGGTGGCTAGGGTTGAGGGTGGCGGCTAGGCTTGTTTGCGGTGGCTAGGGTTGAGTGTGGCGGCTAGGCTTGTTTGTAGTGGCTAGGTTGAGGGTGGCGGCTAGGCTTGTTTGCGGTGGCTAGGGTTGAGTGTGGCGGCTAGGCTTGTTTGTAGTGGCTAGGGTTGAGGGTAGCGGCTAGGCTTGTTTGTGGTGGCTAGGGTTGAAGGTGGGGGCTAGGCTTGTTTGTGGTGGCTAGGATTGAGAGTGGCGGCTAGGTTTGTTTGTGGTGGCTAGGGTTGAGGGTGGCGGCTAGGCTTGTTTGTGGTGGCTAGGGTTTATGGTGGCGGCTAGGCTTGTTTGTGGTGGCTAGGGTTGAGGGTGGCGGCTAGGCTTGTTTGTGGTGGCTAGGGTTGCAGGTGGCGGCTAGGGTTGTGGGTGGTGGCTAGCGTGTTTGGATTGGGCTATCGTGTGTGGATGGTGGCTAGGGTTGTGGGTGGTGGCTTGAGATGTGTGTAGTGGCTTGGGATGTGTGTTAATGGCTTGGATTGTTGGTGATGTCTAGGGTTGTGGGTGGTGGCTAGGGTTATGGGTGATGTCTAGGGTTATGGGTGGTGGCTAGGGTTATGGGTGATGGCTAGGGTTATGGGTGATGGCTATGGTTGTGGGAGGTGTCTGTGGTTGTGGCTAGCGTGTGTTGGTAGTGGCTACCGAGTGAGGATGGTCGCTAGAGTATGTGGGTGGTGGATAGCGTTTGTAGGTGGTGGTCAGCATGTTTGGGTGTTGGCTAGAGTGTGTGGGTGGTGGCTTGGATTGTGGGTTGTGGCTAAGGTTGTGGGTGTTGCCTTTGGTTGTGAGTGGTGGCTTGGTTGTAGGTAGTGGCTAGTGTTGTGAGCTTTAGCGTGAATATAGGTGGTTCCTTGGGTTGTGGATGGTGGTTTGTGAGGTTGGATAGTCCTGTGGGTGGTGGCTTGAGATGTGGGTGTTGGCTTAGGTTTTGATTTATGTCTAGCTTTGTGGGTTGTTGTGTCTAGGCATGTGGGTGGTGGGTAGGGTTGTGGGTGGTGCACAGGGTTCTAGGGTGGTGGCTAGGAATGTGTGAGGTGGCTTCGGATGTGGGTGGTGGCTAGGGACGTGGGTGGTGGCTTGGGATGGTGGTGGTAGCTAGGGATGTGGGTGGTGGCTAGGGATGTGGGTGGTGGCTAGGGATGTGGCTAGTAGCTAAGGATGTGAGTGGTGGCTAGGGATGTGGGTGGTGGCTAGGGATGTGGGTGGTGGCTAAGGATGTCGTTGGTGGCTAGGGACGTGGCTGGTGGTTAGTGGTGTGGGTGGTGACTAGGGATGTGGGTGGTGGCTAGGGATGTGGCTGCTGGCTAGGGATGTGGCTGTTGGCTAGGGATGTGGCTGGTGTCAAGGGATGTGGCTAGTGCCTAGGGATGTGGCTGGTGACTAGGGATGTGGCTGGTGACTAGGGATGTGGCTGGTGACTAGGGATGTGGCTGGTGACTAGGGATGTGGCTGGTGACTAGGGATGTGGCTGGTGACTAGGGATGTGGGTGGTGGCTGGGGATGTGGGTGGTGGCTAGGGATGTGGCTGGTGGCTAGGATTGCAGGTGGTGGCTAGGGATGTGGGTGGTGGCTAGGGATGTGGGTGGTGGCTAGGAATGTGGGTGGTGGCTAGGAATGTGGGTGGTGGTTAGGTATGTGGCTAGTGGCTAAGGATGTGAGTGGTGGCTAGGGATGTGGGTTGTGGCTAGTGATGTGGGTAGTGGCTAAGGATGTGGGTGGTGGCTAGGGACGTGGCTGGTGGCTAGGGACGTGGCTGGTGGCTAGGGACGTGGCTGGTGGCAAGGGATGTGTCTGGTGGCAAGGGATGTGTCTGGTGGCAAGGGATGTGTCTGGTGGCAAGGGATGTGTCTGGTGGCAAGGGATGTGGATG